TTCTGGACGAGATGCAGTTCAAATCTGATAATTGTTGTTTTTGTAGATTGCTTCTTTTTGTTTGATTGATAAATCAAGTGTTTTGGTTGTTTGATCAATACCTCCACTTGAGTACTCACAGTAGTACTAAACAGGCTTCCTGCGGTTGTTTTAAGTATATTTGAGCTTTTTAGTGAGAAATGCGTAAGATATTGTCTGAAAACCTAGATAGATACTCAAAAAAGGCTAAAATAACAAAGTCTTTTTTGCTGAGAAGTCAAAGATTACTGAAACGACCGGGATAATTTAGTAAAGGTTTGCTTGAGTTTTAGTTTCAAAATCAGGCCTGAGCTATTATATAACATAAGAGTTCTCCAAATTAGGCAAATACATGAAACTGATACGAATTTTAATTTCTTGGTTTGTCAATTCAGTTGAAATAACATTGAAATATAGGAGATGAAAGTTCTTTTTCTTAACAATGAGCACAACTTGTTAAGAAATTGATACAACGTTTCAATTTTTTATGTTGAATTTGATGCAAAAAGAGTTTTTTTCGCAAGAAACTAGTTGGTTCAGAAATCAAAAAGTTGCTTTCAAGACATTCAATTAAAAATGATTTTAAAGAAAACCATAATGTTCTGCCGTAGAAAAAACTCTTAAAATATGTAGAGAAAAACAGAAACTTTCTTTGAACTTTTTTCGAATAACGGACATTTTCAGCAAAAGCAGATGTAAAAATCCTTGAGTTTAATCAATGGTACAATATAAGACATGAATGGACTCAAAGTGAGACATGGCAAAACTCGTATTCTTCTCTGGTGAGCTTCAACTTTTTTTTCAAATAGAAATTTAGATGGATCTGTAGAGTGTTTTGCCTAATTGAATTGGCCTAGAAAAGTTAAAAAATCTACAACCGATACGTTTTATATTCCATTTTTTCCTGATATAAAGTTTACTTTAAAAGAAAACGTTTCCAGACAACAATCAAAAGTTTTGCTTTTGATTTGTTCACAGATTTTTTCTGAAAACTACACCCAAATACTCTCAATTTTACTAATGGCATGTGCCTATGTATTGAATTTTGAATGGTTTGATTAGCTCTAACTTTCTCTCATTTACAAACTTTTCGAAAAATTTCTGACAAAAATAGTGGATAAGAAATAATATTAGAACTGTTGTGCATGAAAACTGCTAGCGAATGGTAACCAAAACTGTATTTTCGCTCGAAAAATTTATAATAGCTACTGAAATCGAGAATTTTTATCAGCTAAAAATTAACTTGCTAAAATACAAAACAATATCAGAGGCTTACCTACTAAGGGAATTAAGAAATTCCAGAAACTTGAAACTTCTGAAAATTTTCCTAAAACTTGAGCTTTCTGCACAAAAAGTTTTAAAAACTTACATCTGAATTTTACCATCGGAAACTCTGAAAACTTTAACCTATCTTATCACATTGGAAAATTTGTTCATATTTTTTGGTGTAGAAGAATTAAAAAATTGCTGTAACGGCAAAATTGGGCTCTATTTTTTTGAAATTTTTCATCCTAATTATCTGAAACTATAACATAATACCTATTTTAAAACATTTTTGACGGTCTGAATTTATAAGGTGAAGTTCTTGCCGGTCTGAATTCATGAAGTGAAGTCCTGGAAATCTTTAGCCTGTCTTAATACATAGAGGACCTCACTCCCAAGCTGACTCTACTCAACATATATCAATAATAAGCTTCGATAAGAAAGTAACTTGATGCAAATAAGGCGATGCTGTGATTTATCTATTTTGTTTGTGTAGTTTAGTTTTTCGTCTATTAGTTTCTTTTTAAACAAATTTGAGGTCATGTTCTGCTTAAGTCCAATTGGAGACTTACAGGAATTCCTAGCAAAATCTGAAATAAAGGACATTTTTTGAATCTTAAGAGCAATAAATTTGATAATTACTAAGAGAAGTAGTTAAATTGTAGAAAAATTTGTTCAAGAATCTGATGAGGTTTTTTCAGCAACATTCTTTGCTTCAACGCCAAATTTTTTCGAGAGTTTATTATGTGAAAAGATGGAAATTCTGAAAGTATTCAGGATCAACAAATTAAGTCATTTTTTGTGCAGCTAATTTTTCAAAATAATTGTTCAATTGGTGATTGAGAAAGAAAAAAGATGTTATGTGGCTGACATTTACCGAACTCTGAGATTAACAAAACTTGGTAAAATCGAATAGTTGAATTAAATAGGAATAAGTATAGATATACTTTTGTAGGATCTAAACTAAACTGACCGTGAATAAACCTATCTTAGACAAAAGGTTTTTTACTGCTTTTAAGTTTAATGGAATTTGTTCGCTAGCATAACAAGAATAGATGGTCTGATTCTTAACGTTAAAAACAGACAGAAAACATAAGAGTTGAGCACCATATGTAATAACAGAGTAAGACAGGTGGGTGGCCTTGACACCACTGCAACAACTGCAACATAGAATTCACCGAATAAACATGCGATGGTTTATGCGTGGCATGTCATACCCCGGGGCCAAAACAAATCATATAACAGATGATTTTGTATATAACTAAACAAACACAACTCCCCACCGACAAAGTGAACTGAATCAAGCGCCAGAATATCATGGCTTTAAAATTTAGTAGCAATTGGAGTTTTGATATCAGTTTTTTTTAACAAGAGAGTTTTAGATACTAGAAGTTTTCTTGCTATTCACTTTTTAAACACAATTGCTTTTGGGGATAGTCGCGCAGGAGAAGAACTAGGCTGGATAAAGCCCTCAGTATTTCTTCTAATAAATCTTCGCTTCGGAGTGACGGGAGAACCACCAGCTACGTGGCCTGTCGACGGTGAAGTGGCCACATTTTCTTCCACCTCTTTAACGGAATTTCGAACGGGAATTCCATAACGCGCCGGAGCTTTTCGAGTTCTGTTTGAAGCCCGGGTACTCGAGGAGGAGGAAACCTGCGAATCTACATCATCCTGTGTTACTGGCGGAATTGGGGCTGCTTTTGTTTGAGGATCTATGTCGGTTGAAGTTGGGTTAACAGGTTGTGGTATCATTTGCTGTGACAAACACGATGGGCCTGCCAATTTGTCTGGAGATGATTTCTCTGATACCGGTTGTTTTGGAGACGCCGGAACAACGTACCGCGAACGTAGAGAAGGAGTTCGAGTTGCTGATGTATCCTCAGCAGGTAGTGTGG